CGCGACTTTTTTTTTTTTTTTTTTTTTTTTTTTTTTTTTTTTTTTTAATTAGATTATTGTATCTGCAGAGAATATATGTATAATGTAACAATCATGAGACACTTTGTTTGGTAACTTAAGTTAGGACTTTTAACTTTTATTTACAGCTTACAACGAGCAACATAATCACCCTTCAACTACTACCAAACTACCAATGTTTTCGTATTTGGGTAATTTATGCGCCTTTTGTACACGTTCCACGTACTCCCCTTTTTCTTTGGCAATATTAAGAGACGAAAATACACTCTACTTTTCCGTATATTACGTTAGGCACTAGAAGAATCACAGTCATGAAACTCGACGATACCGGCGAGCGGTAAGGTCATTAGGTAAAAGAAAATGCTTCAACACACTTCGAGAAATGCTTTGAGAAAAAAATCAGGATTATCACTGATCGCGGTGAATCTATTAATATCATCTATTTAACCGCGATCGGTGATATCCCCCGACATTTCTGATTCGATCGCTAACAAAAATTAAACGCAAACGTAAGAAAAATTGCAAGAAAAATTTGCGTGACATATCCTCGAATGGTGATGGCAGCTGATATGTAACTATGAGCAATTTCCGCTCTGATGAGCGCGCTTAAGGGTACTTCCACCGTGATTTTAGGGCTCCTCTCTAAAATCCTAGTAACTAGTTTTTCAGTCTCGGTCACGCAAGCTCGTAATTGCAGAGTCGAAGGCCTTTTCGATGTAGGTTGTACAACGATGAATATGTCGCGATCTGGTGTCATCATGCCCCGAAGAACGCACTGCGCCACTTGAATCTGTCGCGCCAACGCTGACAACAGGGCCTCGAGCGTAACCGCGTCTTTATCGATGTCCTCCTTCATTACGTAGTATATCCTGTCCAACTTCAAAAAGAAAGAAAAAAGTCGGACAAAATAAAAAACGTAACTAGATCCACATATTTTATCCAAAATGTAGAAGAGAAGAAGAGTAACGTACCTGTTTTTTCGAATAAAACAGCTTAGCTGCCCCGCCGCAGACCGGACAACAAGCGCCAGGCGGTGTCACCCCGACGCAATAAGGCACGATCAATCGTGGACACTGTACCAAATCGCCGCAACGAGGCTTAGCCTGATCGCCTATCAATCCAACGGCCACGCATGGGCCAAGGTAATCCACTACCGTCCTCTCTGCCCAAGCTGCGCACTCGTTCGCGTAAACCTCCCCGTTAGCGCCGCAGACAGGACCGCGCAAGGTACATCCTTCCAAACAGTGGCCCCTGTATCCCAGCGTAGCCCCGGCGCGTATCATCGCGCACACCGATCGGTGTTGACGGTTTTCTTTGTCGCATACCGGGCCGCCAGCTTCGTCCCGTGGGTCACAGTCGAGAGGAACGCACTCGTATTGGCGACAAGGTTTGCGAAGCTCGGACAAGCATACCCTGCTCCTTGCCACGCACCTCTCCGTGGTGTCGCACGGATTCGAGGCGCAAGGATCGCGGGACGAGCAACTGCCGAATTCCACGTCGTTGACGGACATTCTTGCGCAGGTGGCGAGGCAGCCGGACGCGAAAGTGAAGCCCAATTTCCCGCACACGGGGACGTAGTGGGGCGGGCAATCGCAGGGCAACGAGGGTATCTCGCCGCAATTCCTCTTCGAACACGTGTACTCGCCCTCGAAACAGTGGCAGGGATTGCACTCCACGTAAAAGTTGGCCTTGTGGGCGATGATCTGATTGTGTATCGAGCAAGGATTGAATTTCACGTAATTCAACGTTTTGCACTTGTCCAAACCGTAGGACGTGCACTGGCAGATCTGATGGGAGCCCTGGTTGAAACTCGGAATTTGCACCCACGTTCCTACGGGGACCAATTGCTTGGACATTTTCCCCAAAAAGCAAGCTGGCACGCAGCGGTACGCTTGTCGGCCGTAATGGAGCAACTGACAGATTTCGCCCTGGGCGCATGGGTTGATCTTGCAAGGGGTCGCGATATCCTCCTCCATGCGTGTCACGGACTCGTTGTCCTGAGGATCGTCGAGGAACGGTTTCAAAGACACGCATGGCGCGTCTGAGTTGGCCGGCGAGAGCTTGGCGCACAACGTGGCCGCCGTGTGAGGGCCGGTGATAGCCGACCAGTCCACGCAACTTGCCATCAACTCGAGGCAATCCTCCCGACACAGTCTCGTCTCGTGACTTTTGGTCTCGCACGGCCTCAGTTGCAGCAGACACGCGGCAGCCCGTAGAGTTTCCGGTGGGCAAGTAGCGGCCACTCGAATAGGGAGGCTCAATCCCCGAATGATTCCACCTCTGGACCAGTGATGAGCCTCGAATTTAGCCGTCTCGTCGGTTGTGGCCGAACAACTCCTGAGGAATTAAACGGAAAAAAAAAAAAAAAAAAAAAAAGAAAAGAAATAAAGACGATGAGAAGGGAGGGAATAAGAATAGCAGCAGAGATGGGGAGGAGTAGAGTTTTGGCAACGGTTCAAAACGAAGAGACTGTCGTTTTCACCTAAACAGCGTGGTCGATCTGTCGTTGAATCGCGTGCAATAGGACAATCCCGCGCAACCCATTTCGCAAGGATCGTCCGTGTCCTCGAGGCAACGCCTCAGTTCTCCTTCCTGGCTCGAGGACAAGCATTCGGCGTCGAGAGGATGCCAAGAGGATTCCCAGTCCGCTTTGAACGCCCTCCAACACAGATCCTGGCACTTTGGCTTAATCGCTTTGGTACAGCATGACAATTTGCCCGCATCTAGAGGTAGACGGACCGGCTTCGGCGAGCCGGACTTCATTAGACAGCTCCAAAACGGCGATTGAGGGGAAATTGGCGGCCCACATTTTTCCGTCAACGCGTTCAAGATCTCTCGATCGGTCGTTGCCGTGTACAGGATCTTTTTACACGTTTCCATACACTGTAAACTGTCCGCCTTGTTGCAGCAATGCAAATCTGTTATCAAAAACAGATATCGGCCTTGTTACGACAGATAAGAAAAAGATAAGAAAAAAATTACGATTACGAGTTGGAAAACGAAAGAGGAGGAGGAGGAGGAGGAAGAAGAAGAAGAAGAAGAAGAAGAAGGAAAAAAAAATAACGATTGTCTCTTTTATACGCACGTTGTTTCGGATTTTCGGCGTGTTTCACTTCGGTCACGCTTTTCAAACACTTTGGCATTTGGTGGAAGCATCCGTTCCGACTTGAGATTTTCTCGCGCTTGTAAAACAGATTTTGGCATACAGTTCTACACGTATCGTTGGACACTTTGCCGCAACAGTGTTCAGCTTCCTCCCGCCTTTCCAGACAGGAATAAAACTCGGGTTCGTCGCTCGGTCGACAAGATTCGTTCAGATTTCTCCTGGATCCTGACAGTGCGCACGTGGATCGACATATCGGATTCTGCACCAGGTAACAGCATCGTCTTCCCGTCCAATTCTCGTGCCTTTTCACCTCTATCGAGCACGACGTGTAAGTAAATACGCGGAATTTAATTAATTTAATTTCGCTTCTAAGCGAAAGGAGTCGCTCCAAAAAACTCTCTTACCATTCAACGTCGAGTTCACGCAACCCCAGAATTCTGTCTGAAAGGAAATAATAAAGAAAAGTTGAAGGAGGCGAGGATTACAGTGAGCAGTGAGGGAGAGGCGTGAAAACCGAGAGGCGTAAGAAAAAAGGTATCTTTTTGTAAACGCGAATCTATCGATCTCTCTCGCGTACCTTTTTTCTTTCTTTTTTTCTTTCTTTCTTTCTTTCTTTCTTTCTTTCTTTCTTTTTCCTCCCTCAAAGTATTGTCGGAGGGATCGGTTTCGTATTCGTACACGACGACGATCTTTGACCATCGAGCACGGATTAAAAGGATCGATTAAAAGCGGCTTACCAGCTCGAGGGAACATAACTCTAGCAAGCGCTGCGTCGCGTTCTCCCTTGCCTCTGCTTCTGCCCCCAACGCTACCAGTGAGATCTGAAAGCACCGCGACACCATTTTTTTCTCTTTCTTTTCTTTTCTTTTTTTTTTTTTTTATCGATTCGAACGGAAAAGGAGAGAGGAGGGAGGGGAGGGAAAAGGGAAAAAAAAAAAAACGGCACAGCTGCGCAGCAACATGTTGATGGGAATTTCCACGATTCGGAATGCAAGATACGACGCATTAGAAGTTATTAAGAATCAAGGACACGAGCACGCTTCACGAGTCGCCACGATTTCCTGTTGTCCGTCCCTGAATGACAATAGACCGCGCTCGGGCTATCGACTGTTCCACCATTTAGTTGGGCTCATTCGAAATGCAATCGACGTACACCACCACGAGGACGTACAAGTCTATTTCGTAGTCTCGTCACGGTTACGAGTTACGACTATCCATTGGCGTGCGGTGGGTCCTGTTAGGACACAGCCTGGGTCACAGGTTGTTATTCCTTTTCAGAACGTTAATTCCATCGATCGAGTCTACGTCGTTCTCTCTCCTACTCCTACTCCTACTCTTTTTCCACCTCTTCTTCATTGACGATTTATTTATGAGAGTAGAAAAGTAAGTAGAAAAAAGAAAGAAGAAGAAGAAAAAGGGGGAGAAAGAGGCGCGTGTAAAGTTTTTAAATAGAACTTTTCACAGTTCTGAACTGTTGCAAATGTTAAGGGCGTAAACGATAGCGAACCGAGGAGACGGAGCACATATTTCTGTCCTGGTATATTCTGGGAGCTATGCGCGGCCGAGCCGCGTCGCCATTTCGAAAGGGGGTGCATTTTTCTCGCAAACTTTTCGAATGTCAACTTTTCGAATTATTCCGACCCCGCGAAAATTCGTGCCCCTCAATCGTTATTATCGCATCCCATCGAAATATACGTGTCATCGACATTCAATCCGTCCAACAACTTTTTCGAGAGAAATTTAAAATACACACTTACAGAGATATAAATAAAACGTAGGCATCTCCTCTCCACGCTACGCTAGAACTTCCGGCCATTTCGACCGGACGCGACCACCGCGGATCTATTAATCAGTCGGTTCACGTTTCGCTATAATAATAATAATAATAATAATAATAATAATAATAATTCATCGGTGACGGTTTTATACATGTACACACACGAGAAAACCGATATTAACCCTCAGCGCCTGAGATAAAGGAAGTCTTTCTGCGTAATTGTTGGTTTCTTTCTTTCTAATTTCATTTACCAATTCGTCCGTGAAAAATAATTTACAATATTGTATCGGCTGTTCGATATCTGTAGAAACTTGTGGTCCAATGACCTGTGGCAATACATTAAAATCTTCGCTTTCATAATTCTCATTCTTCGTCTCTTTGGTAATACAATTTCGCTGTTACTACTTGAAGTAGTAGTCGGAATCATAACCAACATTTTCTTCCCGATATTCAGACAATAATGTCTTTTAACTCTTGAAAATGAAATACGTCTTCGGTATCGCTCTAAATTCTCATCGTAATATTTATTTTTCTTCATGTTGGTAGCACGCATAGAAAAGGTCAAAAAATGGTTTAACCGTAACGGTACAGACTTTTTCACGTTTTAACTACGGATAACAATTGCCGATATACGATATGCTAAAAACATTTGGAGCCTTCGGAGTTACGGAACAAATGACAAATGTCTCGGAGCGTTAAGAGTTAAAAAACTTACTCACTACAGCGCGGACCACCCCGCAACGGGCCGATGGAATTTCGCAGAGGAAAGAAAAAGGAAATCTTCCTAGACCGCGATCATTCCCTCGGCTACAAATTGCACGGGAACACGATATCATTGATACCGGTTGAGCGGAGCGCGTCAATTCGTAATATTTGCGTATGAATGAGCCGAGCGGACCCCCGGGGGGGTCGTGCGTAAATCTCTCAGCGGGCCCTCCGATATTATCTCGAGAGGAGGAGGGGGCAAGTTTTGAAGAAGCTGCACGACCACGCGTGCGCCCCGCGTAGCGAACCTGTGGCCCGAAAAACCACCGCTTCCTCTTTTTCTCCTTTCCGCCTCCCTCCTTCTTACACGCCGTTTCCTTTTTATTTCCCCAGACCTCCTAATATATCCGTGGACACACGGCGTATACCTTTTACCATGGCTCTCGGGGCTCGCCGATATTTATCAGCGATATCGCGTTCTCTTCTGGGCGAAATTATATTCCGGACCGTTGAAATTGCTCTTTCTCTCGCATTCCCACGCGGGGATATTTCGCGCGTATAATTTAATAGACGGGACAGGCGGAAGGGGACGATGGATGGGTGGGTGCGAGTGTTACCACGTGCTCGTTTTCGAGGATAGAAAGAACGGCAAAGGAAAGCTTGGGTATACCTTGGAGCAGTCGTTGCGACAAGATCCGGCGGCCAGGGAACAGCAGGACATCTCTGGAACAGATAAAGAATAGAGTCGGATAGATTTTTTTCCCTTTCTTCTCTTTCTCTTTCCGACGCACGCACATACGGCTTATATTTAGGAGACATGTCCGCGATCCTTTCTCCCATTTTCCCCTGGACACGAACCAGACGCGCGTGTCGTCTGCGTTGCGTCAACTTGAGAAGGAGAAAGGATCTTCCGAAATTCGAAGGGCTCTTCGAACAACCACCTCCTCCTTTCTCCTTCCTCGTCAAACAACAAAACGAGAACGTTACTCGAGAAAATTTCCCTTTTTATCCTCCGTTAATCCCTGTCTAATTCTATCTTCTATTTCTATTTCATATATATATATATATATAGTTTGGATATCACTTTTATCAAACGATCTCGCGATCGTGTCACATTCCGGCGTAAGCGATCTTTTACGATCTTTTACGAGCGTGATATGCGGGTCGTGAGAGCTGGCTTTTGAACGGGGACCGAAAATCGTAAGAGAGCACAATAAACGATGCACACACGGCAGAGACAGAAGGGGAGGGGTTCGAAGCGTGTTACAATTAAGTTAATAGATAGCAGTCGGGCACAAATTGCTGCGTTTCTGTCCGCGTGACTCCTCGCCGGGTTCGCGCTTAGCGTAGCGTGTATACACTTTCCATTCCAAATCGATCCGATTTTCCTTCGATGCAATTTTTTTTCTTTTTTTTTTTTTTCTACATATCTTTCTCTCCCTTCCGATTCCGATGATTCGAACTCGTTTCAAACGAACGCGAACACAGCGTTCGTGGATAGTTTGTACAGGTGGCAGGAAAAGGGCACGATTTTCGAAGAAATACCAGCTGGCCTGGACGAATATCGATTTCGGGGGGGAGGGGGGACACGGAAGTTGTTCTCGTGGCAAATTGCTAAAAATAATCGAAGGATCGTTAAACGTTATTTTAGAAGGTTCGAGGAAAGGTAGGAAAATGGTCTTTGATGTTGGTTGATGCCAGGCCGACGGCGGTTGTGAAATTCGCCGTGGCAAGTGCGTCGCCTGAAATCGTAACGGGTTTTGTGGCTTCTCTCTCGTGGACGAAACAAAAATAGCCGACGTCGTTCGCCGCTCGTTCGACTTCTGCCCTGATCTAAGTCGTGAACGTCCCCTTAATTTTATCCACTCGAATGAAACGAGGATAATACCACTCTCTGTCTCTTTGAAGCCGCGGCCCGTGACTCTCCACCATCCCCTTTCCCTCGCTACGAACGATTTCAGTTTTTCTTTTTCATTTGTGAAAATGTCTCGTCGACGAAATTATCCAAACATGTCATCCTTTAACTTCTACACTCGGCGCGTCACGTCGTATCACCACGTCGATGCGTGGATGTAAAGCGTATACGTATACGATTGCATATATAAAAGGGCCGTGCCTGGCACTCTCACAGCTGCGCCATATCGTGCGCGAATGGTGACATCCACGTCGTAAAACTCGCACGATTCTCCCACGCCTCGCGATGACAATCCCCCCCTCCCCCCAGATGGATGGAAGATAAGTCGAGGAAGTTGAAACTTCCATGAATCGGCATGCGAGCCATGTGCCGATCGATTATTGAAAATCGTTTTACCTTTTTACGATCTCCTTTATTTCGAGGAAACACTTTTTCGTTTATCTCTTAACTCTCGTCCAATCCGTTGATTAATTCCCCTCGTATTAAGAGTATCGAGAGTCGTTTTCAATTTCCATTCGATAATCTTACAACACTTGCTTACGTCACACTTACTTGCTTGGCGCAACGAGCGTCCCGATCCCTTTCGTCACACCACGTTGAATTAGCGCTCGGTCCCAGAATTCTTCCTGTTACACCGCTGGCAAAAAGTGCGCACTTGTTCGGGGTATATAACTTGGGTATAATTACGCTGTACTCGAGGCGGAAGAAAAAGAAAGAAGAAGGAAGAGGGGAAAAAAAAAAGGTGGAAGGAAACTGGAAAGGATACCGTATTAATTAGTACAATCGTACACAACACAAACTTGGAGGAGGCAAGTGCTGCCAAGCCTTGCTGGAAAGCCACTTATATCTGCCATTCGAGAAAGAAGTTAACGAAGAAAGAGAGAGAGAGAGAGAGAGAGGAATCGATCGAGTAGTGAAAGATCGGAGGGAAAAAAAGATGGGCGATTACGGAGGAGCGGAGGAGGGGGAGGGATAAAAAGGAGAAAATCAAGATACGTGTCTCTCTCGATACGTTTTTATCCGTCGTGTGAAGCTGTCACGAGGGTTTTATGTGTTTATTTATCTCTCTCTCCACTCTCCTCTCGACTCACCACGAGCCAGCGTGTATCGAGCAGGCAGCGTGTATTGCCTTTACACGCTGCTTGTGGACCGTGTCAGGGCCTTGCCGATTGGAAGTCGCGTTCTCCTTTAACCCCTTCGTTTTGGCGTCTCGTTCCTTTCTTCGGCAACGCGTTTCGCGACAACCGGTCTAAAGAAATCGTTCGTTCCTTCGGAATCTCTGGTTGCAACCAGACGGACGTATAGCGAATTTCTTTACGAACCACCTTATTTAGACGGTGGTCTAAATTTTCTCTTTATTTTTTCCTTTTCTTCTCTTCTTTTTTCTGTTACAGGAAATTCAACCCTTCGTGTATTTATATTTAAAAACGGTCGCCAATCATCGAGGTAACAAGAATCCTTGGAATGTAATTATATTATACATATATGTATGTATATATATATATATAATAATAAAATGTAGGATGGCGATTATATACGGCCGAAACATACGAAATGCTATGGATTGATATTCAGGAAATAATAATCAAATCAAGATTCTTTCTCAATGTTATTACCAAAGTGTAGTTCGTAATGCGATCAGGGATCGGAGAATCTTGTTTTACGAGGAAAACGTGACGAAGTCGTTCAACTGAAATCCACTCGATTGCTCGTAAAAGGACAGAACGTTAAAGTTTCCAGGAACGTTAATTGCAGATCATGCTGAATACATTTATATATATACATACACACACACATATATATATATATATACCGTCATCGAAAACGCGACTAATCAACATTGCATTGCAAATTCTTTTTTCCGATCCTCGTCGTTCGACGATGGTCGTACGAGATTTGAAGAACGAATTGGACGAAACGAACGAACGTGCGTCGCTGCTTGTTCCATAAGGAGGGTTAACTGGGAGAAGCAGGCTCGACTCGGGAGAAAGACCTTTCGGTCGATTAATAAACTCGGGCCACGAGACGAGCGATCGACAAAGATGATGCCATTAATTTAACCAAGAGACCAATCCCCGAGATCGATATATGCATTTCAAAGTGTTGCTATAAATCGATTGCTTGCGCAACGGCCGCCGTTCCAATTTCCAAGTCGAAAGACAGGCGAAATTGCTGGCGCTGGCGTAGAAAGGATTTACGTAGAGGGCGCGCGTTAAAATTACTATGATCTGTGCACGTATTAACACGGTTAAAAAGCCGGTGGCCAACGTAACGACGTGTGTCCCCTCTCTTATCCCTTTTTCCCCCCTCCCTCCCGTTTCTTCTTCGCCTGAAACACCAGTCGGATATATTATTTCACTACGATGGCGCATCCATAAAGCATGAAATTATACGCCTCGATCGAACGACACCGCGTTAACCGATGTTTTATCGCGAGTGAGCAACAGGTCGCGAATGAATCTTGAACTCGACTCCGTGGTGATTCACAATGGAGCTTGTTGAGCCTAGGTGTATCGATACGAGATAAGAGGCAAGTTTAAATCTTTTACGCGTCGTCACCTCCCTCCTTGCGCCGTTGTTCCGTGCGAAACGACGAAAGGTTTTCGATCATCGATAAAACCGATAGCCAGAGAGAAAAAGAGAGAGAGAGAGAGAGAGAGAGCGAGCTTGTTTGCCGCGCATTAGCATTGTATGGCACGAAATATATAGAAGCTGGTTTTACGAGCAATACCACTTCGTTTCTACTCTCTCCGTGCTTGCTGCTCATAGATAGACGTGCAAAAGGGATTCGCCTCGAACGAAAGAGAGGGAAATTCGCAGGAATTTACGAGATATCGATTAGCACGGTGTATCATCAGCCGTTATGCGTGTACCGAGTGTATCGAGTGGTGAACACCGTGGCGAATAAAAGTCGCGCTAATCGGCAGACAGAAGACGGAAGTGAGACGAAACGAAAAGATGTGCGTGCGCGTGCGTGTGTGAGAGAGAGAGAGAGAGAGACGCGTTTCTGAAGAAATCTCGAAACATCGTTTGTCAAATAGGCAAATTCCGTTGCCTATAAATGAATTTGGTTACGCGGTTGCGTTCAGTTCAGCCCGTGCTTATACACGTGTATAATATTTTTTTTCATCTTTTTGTACAAGATCCGTGGACGCGTTGAAGAGAGGCAGAGAGGCGAAGGACCGTTAGCGACACCTCGTTCGCACGCACGTGCATCGAGTAAATTTCGAGATAGAACGAGAAGTGAGAGGGAGAGAGAGAAGGAGAGGGAGATTAAAGGAGGATCGGAGGATCGAGTGACGAAATGCGGAACGAAAAAATTGTTGTTGTTATTATTCGTATTATTCTTTAATTAATCTCTTAATTAATCCTTCGTTGTCGCAGGTTGAAACAAGTATAATTAACAGAGTTTCGATTCGGGAAGAGGACGACTTTTTTTCACGTTCCATCGATGAAGAAGATCCCATCGTGAGAAAGCGAAGCGAAGTTTCGTATCGATTGCTCGAGCACACTTGGGCGCGGAAACTCGATAAAGAAAACCTCGGCTCGGCTCTCGAGCGCGTCGACGATAAGAGGATCGAGGATGAAGAAGGGAAAGCATTAAGAAATCACCGCGCGAATCGAACGGCGGAAGAGGCTGTTCGAAGAGAAGGAAGAAGAAGAAGAAAAGGCAATGCTGACAAAAGCGACGAGAATTAATAGAAGGAAAGGAGAGAGAGAAGAGAGAGAGAGAGAGAGTACAAGGAAGGAACGCACATGTGGCCAGAAGTTGTCGCCGATATCTTCTCTCTGCCGCGATGACACAAAAAAAGACTCGCGAAGATTACGAAGAGTCTTCGTAAATATACGGTAAAATTGCTCGTCGGCCTCGTTATTATTTCAACGTTGCTCGACGACGAAATAACATAAACTTTGTGTCGTTGATATCCGCTTTCGTGTTTTCGAAAAGAAAAGAAAAAAGGAACGACTACGATTTATCTATACACCGCAGCAAAATAACGCAAAGTCGAGGTGAGCTATCGACCTCTAAAAAAAAACCCTCCTCCTCTTCTTCTTTTCTTCTTCTTCTTCTTCTTCTTCTCCTTCTCCTCTCTTCTTTGATCTTTTTCGCGAGCTCGAGCGTCGAGTTTCTTGATCGCGCGACAGTCGTAAAATTGGCGGAGTGACATAAAGCGACAAATAAATGAATTACCTTGCGCAGCGTCGAGGAACGGATTGGCGACAGCGATGACCGCCAACATCGTGAACGAGAGGATCGCGAGCATGGTCGTGCGGCGCAGATGATAATCTCCGGTTAATCGCTGCCCAATCGTCGATCTAGCTTCGATCACTGGCCGCCCCATCGACGCATCTTCAATTGATAAACGGAAACGGGGGCGCGAGATACAGGGAACGATCGTAACAGACTTGGCATATCGGTGCGGGAAGAACGGGACGAGTACGAGGTGCACCGGAGCGCAGTCCGCGACCGACTGAGCTTTTCGTGGCATTTGCAGCCTCGGGTCTCTCTCCGCCAAGCTTTTTACCGGGTGGGTGAGAGGAAGGAAGAGATCGGACCCCGAGAGAACGGGAGGAAGAAAGAAGGGAAGGGAGAGGAAGAGAGAGAGAGGGAGAAGAGGAGAGCTCTCTTTAAAGAGAGACAGGAAAGGAGAGATTGCGTGTAGGAGGAGGGAAAAGACGCGTGGCGCGGTTGTCACGCAGTGCAACCGCTATTGTGACATCTTTGAAGCAGTACCCACACGTATCTCTACGTAACGTATTTCTTCGTCTCTCCTTCCCCCTTCCTCTTCGTCCTTTCCGTCGTTGCATTCACACGAGGAGGAATCCCGCATAGGATGACGCGCATCGAGCATAATCGTACATTGTTAGGATCGATAGCAGTTGGTCAAATTCTCGGTTATCTCTCCCCAAACAGATTAGCCAAACGGTGACTCTATACACACACACACATATACATACATACATACATATATATATATATATATATATAACCCCGAAAAACGAGATCCCATCGAAAGTCATAAATTCGAGGGAAGTCGCACGGTCTGAAAGCTGAACCGGGCCCCGTCGGTTAGAAAGCTGCATTCCTGCACCGGATAAATACGATAACCCGTGCTTGTACTTCCTTCGATAGCGATTGAGCGACGAATATTACGAGCGGGCATAATCGTCGTGAGCATATCGTTAAGATACGGATATCGTTCGTTCTATTACGATCCTTGCCACGGACAATGAGTCGCGCCGCTGTTCTTGCTGCCAGTTATTCATCGGAATATTTGCTTGCTTGCTTACTTATTTATTTTGTGAGTAACGAGTGAGAACTCGCGATATCCCGTTTTCAATAATCTCGATACGGAAACGAGAGGAATTAATAACGATGTTATTCGGCAAAATAAAAAAATTTAATCAAAATAATAAGAACGCTTCGTTTTTAACGTATCGAGATATATTTTTATAAAAAAATACCGACTCGAAAATCATCGACGCGGGATGGGATGGGTCACGTTACGAACCCCTGGTGAAGTCAATCGTCTCGATTCGTCGGGTAATTTATTAATTTATTCCGCCGATAAATCCGTTTGAATCCGCGCTGTGTAGGCTGTGGATGGATTGTTCCTCCTCGAGGCTTCCCTTCTCCCTCTTCCTCTCTTCTTTCGCATCTTTATCCGTCTGCTCGTTTCTCCTTCATAGAACAGGCTTGTTATTTCATTCTCGTAAACGCGCACACCCAAACCGTTCGATCAGACCGCACTTATTTGCGATAACAATTTTATCGTCGATAATCATACGATTCATGGTGCACGAGTCACGTGCACCTCGTATAATTGCGAATCCGCGGTCGAAGTCGTTTCAGGTAGAGGAAGGTTTCGACGAAGGGAACGCGAGGAAAGCTCGCGAGTCGAGGGAAATTCGTTTAAAAGCAGATTATTGGCAAAGAGAGAGGGAGAGTAAAGAAAGAGAGAGAGAGAGAGAGAGAGAGAGAGAGAGAGAGAGAGAAGAAGAACG